AATGTATTGATTATCAATAAAATTTATCTTTTCATTCAGTAAATTACGTTAAGATATATTGTAATGCATTTTTTTGAACACGTTTCTCGATATTACAAGTTAAGAAAAATAAATTTGTCTTTGCTATTAATTAGCGCTTATTCATTTCGTAATTATTGTTGAAATATATTCCAATAAATGTTGTGTTCAAGGTTTGGGAATGAGATCCGTCCAGTATTTCATTGCACTGTAATTAATGTACATCACTTTATGAACAAATATATACGTTTACAATCTTGAATTGCCTAAATGTTATTGTACTGTCCATTTCCTATATAAAGTGAAGAGTGTTTTTTGTGGGATCAAATATTCATATAAAGATAAGAACAATTGTTTATTTGTTTAAGTGCTTTTATCAATAGTGAATTAAACGAGACTTCAATGTTTGTAAAATGTTAATGTACAATTGTATTGCATATATAAGAAATTTATAGAATAAATAAAAATTAGATTTTATGCTTGCTTTTGTATTCGATAAATGTCAAAAAATATATAATATGATTTAACATCAACAATTGAAGATAATTAATTAATTTAGAGAATTTGACTACAACTAATGAAGTTTCAAATACAAAAAACAACAACGACGTATCCAGTAATACATCAGGAAAAGTTACAACGTTGGAAAAAAAAAGTGGTCCTGTAGTTATTATTCGACCATTAGAAGTAACAGCTGCAAAAAATACATTAAAAAAAGTATCGAATGCACCAGTACCACCAGCAACAGCAACAACAAGAACAACAACAGTAACAGCAGGAGGAGCAGCAGCAACAACACCACCACCACCACCACCACCACCACCACCACCTCCAACATCATTACCACCATCAAAACCACCTGCACCACCACCACTACCAGCTTTAACACCTCCACCTCAACCTTCTCCAGTTTTACAAACTCAAAAATCAACTACATCGACGAGTTCCAACAAATCTGAATTAAATAAAAATAACAAATTCTTCCCTGGTGAGTTTCGAGTCGAGACGTTACGATAATTTTACATTATAATTATTATTCATATATAATTTTAAGGTAAAAGTAGTCAAGATCAAGTTCACGAGGAACTTAAATATGTATTAAACATGTTTAGAGAAAAGAAATTTAGTCCAAATATTATTGAAAGGCAATCTACAGTTTTACATCAATATTCAACTCCCCGCGAAGTTCAATCTTGGTTAACAACTAAAGGATTTTCAGATAAGTAAGTATAACTAATGATTAGAAATAAAAAATATTAACAAAAGACTTAACTGATCGTTAATTTAACAGAGTTTGCAAACAATTAAGAGATATGACTGGTGCTGAAATATTTAATCTAACTAAACGACAATTGGAACAATATTTCGGTCCTGATGAAGGCGGAAAGTTAGAACAACAGCTTATCTTGTCACGCAATGAATGTGGGGTAAGTTTAACGTTAATACGTTAATAGTAAAACTTAATAAATATATTGTTTTTTATATTCTTTTTTTTTCTTTTTCTTTTGGTACTAATACTTCCAATTTTTTATTAGTATGAGAAGACAAGGGCATCGGAATTAAAACAAATTTTCGAAAAAATTCGGACAAAGGGCAGAATAAATGAAACGTAAAAGAAACGATTAAACATAAGTGTTTATACATATATAGAAATATGTATATACACGATAATTGATGCTTAAAAATAGTTGTAACTATTTTTAATTCTTAACAAAATTATGAAGTGCAATAAGCTGTGATTTTAATAAAAATATGTAACATAAGTATTAGAAGTAACGTGCTCTAAGTACTTCATAATTTCATTGAAGAAAATTACTTAAAATAAGAAATGTTCATTAAATATACTTATCATCTCTTATAAAATAGATCGATATAAAGAAATTCCCTACTCAAAATCAATAATCACATTATAATGTTAAATAAATTGTATTTAGAACGGACTAATCGGAACCTAAAAAATCAACGATATTAAATTCTAAGAATGTTAAATAAATATCTATAGTAATTTAATTAAAATGAGAATGATGATATATAATATTTAAAAATGTGTCATATACTATATACGAAGACAAGATTTTAAATCGACTGTATCAGTCACATAAACTTTTTAAATCGTTTCAAATTAAATACTTCGTTATTAATATCGCGTTATATTTATTTTGAAGCTATCATTATACATTAATTAATAACAGACATAAATAGATATCCGTCTGTGCATATATCAATTTTTATATATAACTTTAAAATTATATATTTCGATATATTACACAGAAATTTTTTCAATACTCCTCCGGTCGGGATCACATCACGTGAACACATCGATAAGTTTAATAATAATAATAATAATAATAATATTGTATAGAATTTTCAATTCTTAGCAAAGCTCTTTTCGAACACATCACTAAATTATTATTATTATTATTGTTATTATTATTATTATTATTATTATTATTTTTATTATTAGTATCGGCTATATTTATAATATATTGCTTCCATACGAAGCATATTTAGCGGCGTTGAATAAAAACAAAAGCAGTAAAGATTTCAGCGTATTTTACGTACGTTAATTGTGCGTTAATTTACAATCTAAATTAATATTAAAATAATAATAATAATAATAATAATAATAATAATAATAATAATAATATTATAATATTAATCGATCGAGAAGAAACACAAATTGTTTCTTCCTGTTAATCGAATCGTTAAAAAATACAATTGAATACATAAAAAGTAATTTTTAATTTAAATGCAAGTGACCTTATTTTCTGTTCTTGTTCTCCTTTTAAATTATACTACACGAATGAAATAAATAATGCATTTTTAAATGCATGCCATGATCCATGTAAAAGGCCTATAAAGTGTTCTTCGAATAATTTCTTTTTTTTTTTTTGGAAGAAGTTCGATACTATTATTTGTTCGTTCTAAATTCCAATTTTATGAATATCCTAAAAGTTCGTAAAAATGTTGTATAAAATTTGTCTAGAAAACTGGTAATCAATCTAAAAAATCGATACACAAGTTTCCATTTACGATTCTATGAATAAAGTGAGAGATGACGATAGATAACAGCTTCTCGATGATACAATGCTATGAATTGGTCATTCGTGAATGTCTCACACGTTTTTCATTAGAGATAATATTGGTTTTCTTTTTATATATATATAAATATGACAATTATTATATATACTGTTTATCATTATTGGGATCAGAGTTGTTATTATCAATAATAATAATTATTATTATTATTACGGGTCAGTACTACCAATTCTAACGTTCCAAAATGAAGATACTTTCAAGAGAGTTATTCTAGAATAACTTTTTTTCTAGTTGAAAATTTATATTCTAATCTCGAGGTGATTAAATTCATTCTAATTTATCGTAGAAGAGTATGCAAGAAATAAAAAAGAAAGTAAATAATTGACAAGTTGGAATGTGATATAATCAACCTTTAAAATTTATACAATAAAGTAACAGGAAAATGATACGTAAGACAAATTATATTTAAAAGATTATTGTTTTGCTAATATGCCTTTTTTCAATCGTTATATTGTTTCTCTTTAAACTTTTTAATTTATATATATGTAATAATTGCACGTATTTGTAAATTGCTCATTTTACGAAAAGGACATATTTGAAATATTTTAATCATTTGATGTAAGAACATTGTTTGTGCGTAACATATAACTTTCATAGCTCACAATTATGAAATTTATATTAAATAATAATAAATTTCATTGATTTGAGTTATTCGTATACAGTAGATGCCACCGTTTTATAAGCTTGAAATAGAAGAATTTATATATCTATATATACTTTTCTTTATAATGTGTATGTATATAAATCATGAAAGTTCCAAGATTAACATTTAACAAATAAAAACTGTATTTCTATCAGTTAATCACGAAATATATATCTTGAAAGTGATGTTAAAATCTTAACAAATTACAAGCTTCATGTTAAAAATCTTGATTAATAATCGAGAAACCTTCGAATACGATTTAAACAAATTACATATGCACCTTGTTATTAATTATTAATAATATTAACGTAAACTATATATATATATATATAAAACTGACTTTTTCTTTCTTTTTGTTTTTTTCTTTGTGTGTTTTTTTTTAATATTTACATAATATTTTATTAAGGCTGCAATAAATTGTACTTATGCTCAAATATTATTATAAGACATAACATTACAACTATAACATAAATTTCGAATATAAAACAAACAATCATATTATTAAATTCTCTTCATAAAAACCAATCAATCATTAAACATTTGTGAATGTTGTATGTGAGACATTTACAACTCCAACGTTATTGATTTTTGCATACATATACATACATACACACATACAAATAAGTGTACATACGTTTGATATCGCAACAAAGGAAAATGTCTCTTTTGTAAATTTCTATAAACTTAATTGTACGAGGATTGTATGAAATTGTAATATGCTAAACAACGTCACCTTCTTTTGTCACATTTTTAAGGGAGCGAAAAGTTTAACGTTCATGGAAAACATTTCTTTTTTTAATGTTTGTTTAAAGATGAAAAAACTACGTAAGAAAAATCTTGTTTTTTTGTTGTTGTTGTTTTAAAGTACACGAAATACATACGCAGTTGTCATGGGTAAAAACAAAAGTTTTCTCGATATGTCATAAAGTAACATAATTAGAAATAATACGTTAGAAATATAATTACGTTAGATCGTTCCATATCTTGTTTTCTATCCTGAGGAAAACGCAATAATGACTTTAAACAAAATTGACTAAGCAGCGGCGCATAAGATTACATTTAAACGTTAAATATAAAATAATGTATTATAGCGATAAGTAAGATAAAAAGAGAGAAAACAATGGAACCGTTAAAAAAATGTTTCTTGTAATCTATTTAATAAATAATAAGAATATAAGTAGAGCTTCAAAGTTGACCTTGGAAATCGAAAAAGTTTGACTAAATCGTCATATATCTTTTACGTCAATTGTATCAATGTATATCTATCTATTAGAATGATTTAAAGTATAGGTTGTCATTCTGCTCGCATGGATTATTGATCATATACTAATATTTGAAACATAGAGGGAAAAGAAAAGAAATGATAAGAAAATAATAGAAAGAAAATCCAAGGCCAAAATGTGAGAAGCGACGATGAAAAGACGACGGAGCGATAATGGAATGACAATGGAGCTTGACAATGAAGCGAATTAGAAAAGCGAGATAATGAAGCGAGAAATGGAAAGGTAGATAGATAGATAGAGATAGAGATAGAGATAGATAGATAGATAGGTAGATATATATATGTATATATAAGTGTGCGAATGAATGAATACAAGTAGTATACAACCTACTGGATAGGGGCCTCCGAATCCTCCTTAGATGGAACAGACCTTAATCGATGAGAACACCAATGAAATAAACTAAACTTAGCTTAATATTTGGTGATTAGCAAAACCTATAAAAGCAGGCTTGATAATTAATGTAGTATGTATATGAAAAAAGAAATAATATGTGATAGGAGAAGGAAAAAGGGACATTTTGACTGTCTCTTTGATCATTTCTATCCGCCAAAAGCAATTCTGTGTGCTTAACTTTCTTTTACAAAATTACCAAAAACCTCCCGCACTACGCCCACCGGGTGGATTGTTAACACGAATGCAAGCTCTTCGTGCCTCTTCCACGTCCTCTGTAAAAATAAAAATACATTTCATAACTATAATTATATATAAATATTAGACAGAAAACCATATCTTATTTTAATATAATAAATTCTAGAATAAAGAATACAAAAGTTATTAATTTTACCGCTGATAGAGAATGTAGAATCTTGTAAATTTCTTTGTCCTTCCAATCGGGGACCTTTCGACGATGGTGTCATGATTGCAGAATCAGGTAAAGTGGGTATGCAATCAATCGACGATAATTTCGGTTTCGGACTTTCATGAGTACCGTTCGTTTGATTATTATGCAAGGCGGCTGCAGCAGCAGCTGCTTTTGCTGCTTCCCTAGCCTTAGCTATAGCGGCATCCTCTTCAGCATACTTCTTAGCTTCCGCTTCCGTCCGTGGTACGCCTCTAGGTCTCTGAAATAAATATCAATGTACATATATGTATTAGATCATGCAGTACATACATCGATATCTTGCTTTCTAACTTATTTACAAACAATATATATACCTTCTCACGTTCTTCTATCATGTCATATACATAATTACAGAACGTCGGCGTTTCTACATATCTTCCAAAACCATGAACAGCCTTTAATTCGCATTCGTCTACACATACACGGCCGTTTACGATAACATATTCAGGTACACCATGAACTTCCATACCCTATTTCAAAGTGGAAAAAAAAAGGAATTAAATAATACAAATGTATGGATTGAAACGTTAATGTGCATTGAAGAACATTACCTCAAAAATATTAAAATCAACGGCTTGGACATGAGTCTCGGCAGAAATCGTACGTTTCCTGTTAGGATCCCAAACAACAATATCAGCGTCGGAACCTACAGCAATTACTCCTTTTCTAGGATAAATATTAAATATTTTAGCTGCGTTTGTACTGGTAACTGCAACGAATCTCATTGGATCCATAATCCCTGCATGTACTCCTTTTTCCCATAGTATAGACATTCTATCTTCGACGCCATTAACTCCATTAGGTATTTTTGAGAAATCATCTTTACCCAATGCTTTTTGTTCGGCATTGAAGGTACAATTATCGCTGCCAGTCAATTGAAGACCGTCCCTAATCAAATTCGTAAAAATTAATTCAAATACCCAAATTATACAATATATTACATGGAAATGTGTAAACATAGCGATTGTATACTATCGGTTACCTTGACATCAGACTCGGCTAAAAGTTTAAACTTAAAATAAAATAAACAAAAATTAAATATATTCACCAATAAAAAATTAATTGTCTACATAAATGATGAACGAGTTAATTGAGTAAATACATAATTATAACAATGTAAACAAAGATATAATAAAACAATAAAAATACTTATGTAGTAATCGCTTAATTAAGTATACAACGTGATATGTGCAACTTCCCACGCTGCATCAATGAAAATGAAGATCAGTTGGTCAGACTAAATGTATCATAGTCTAGTACCAACTGTATCTTGCATAGAAACAGACACACGTAACACATTTTATATTAGTGTCACTTAGAAATTCATGTGAATAAAACGCATAAGAGAAAAGAAAATTACTACTTCAAGAGAAAAAGATATATGTGTATATATATATATATATAGAGAGAGAGAGAGAGAGAAAGAGAAAGAAAGATCTAATCTTTTTTTACTTACTGAGCCAAATGTTCGATTAAATATGCAGGTGTAGTCGAATCTGGCCTTAAAGGTGGACTAGTTACAAAACGTCGTGCTTTTTCAATATCTTTCCCGTATTGTTCGATACCATCGATACCAACATTACTTGCTAGAGTTTCTCCAAATACGATGACACCATCGCTTTTTTTCGCGGACACAACATCGGCAGCAGACTTGCTTGACACTGCTGAGATATACAGCGGACTATTCACCTAAACGCGATATTGATGTATCTCTTACATTGAAATGATCATTACATTTTTTTCTAACCGACGTCTATTTCATCAAATAATAATAATAATAATAATAATAATAATAATAATAATAATAATAATAATAACGACAACAATAATAATAATTAAGCGATAAAAAAGCATTTACCTACACATCAAAGTTGAAATAAAATTTATCAAAAGTTTAATAATAAGTGCATAAATAAATAAATACGAAAATGCATTACTTTTTTCTATTTCTTTGACAGTGGATACGTAATACATGATAATACCGATTATATAATCTAACTAATCATTCCAATAATGTCAACGAAATAGAACACACAAGTAAAATTAAAATTAGCTACTGGCCGAGAAATAGCAGCGAGGAGCATGCTCAACAAATTTCGAAGGTAAAGTTCGAAAGTAAGGAAACTTCTAAATATACATTTTGGCCCCGCACGCAAAACATAACGAGTAAGAGACGAGTTTTATGAGATTTGAAATGTCAGTAGGGAAGCCTAGATAACGGTGATTGGCCTATTTAACTAAAAACTAACTTTCTCAGATGTTAAAAGTTAATTTTGTGTAAAGAAAAGAGAGAAAGAGATAGATAACTATCAGTTGTATTTAAGTAAGAGATAGCACGCAAAGGATTAGTTGGAATGAGAAAAGTATTAGAAAAATGGGTCGAGATAATTGTTCTACATAATATTGTTCTCTTCGGAAGCCGTTCATCGTATGTCAAGGTCACCGTGAAATCAATTTTACCGAATGGCTTCGCGACTCACCTTGCCAAATAATTTAAAAGTACAAGAGGTGTATTTGGATCTGGCCTAAGTGGTGGACTTAAGACGTGTCCAGCTGCATGCCTCCAACATTTATGCGTGTAGTTGGTACCATCGGTACCGACAGCAGCTGCCAAGGTCTCACCAAAGACGCAAACACCGCGTTTGCGTGCAGCTTCCACGGCTTCTGCGCCGCTACGACTCATCACATGCACTACATACAGCGGACAATTTACCTAGGCGTGCAAAAAGTTACTCCTCCTAGCTTGTGTTTCTAATCTTTAATATGATAGTACATACGTACATATGTAAAAATGAAAAAAGAAAATAGATATATAAATGAAATTACTTTTTCTTTTTTTTTTTCATTGCTTTTACATAACATAAATATTGACGTATTTCTTGTTTATTTTTACTCGCACTCAACGCAAATAAAATAATGAAAAATAATTGCACAAATATAAGCGATACTTTAAATGTTTTTTTTTTCTTTTTTAAGTAACAGAAAGAAGGACGTAAAAATTACTTTTATCTACTTACGATTACGTTTACTTATAATACGTATATATACACATAAGTGCAAGCAAGACTCTTACGTTACATAGGAAATGCGATACGTGCAAGAAATAAATAAGATACATAAAAAGCAATGAAAAGAAAATACGAGGAGCAAGAAAATAAAATCAAATAAAAATTCTTTGACAAGAGTAAACTAATACGATTAAATAGACGAGCTAATGGCACGAGGAAGTACCAATGCATCGTGAGGCTTGGTTTAGAACTTTAGCATACCTGGCTTGCTATCGTACAAGCTCTGGTCACCGCTTCCGCTTCTACTTCTTCAGGTCGTGACATTTCGTGACCTTCTGGTCCAGTTACTCCAGCAGCTAATAATTTCTTAGTGTTCTAAAATAAATACAAATACATAATTATTTTTTCCTTTAATAAATTACCATAATTATCATAATTTATAATTGCCATGTTATCTACCTCGGCAATAATGTCACCATTTTCAGCATGAACCATAGCCAATGCTCCTAATTCTTTACAAGCTTTGAACGTTTCAATTAAATCAACATCTCTCAACATGAAAGAATAAGTCATGAACATTTTAAAACTATTAACATTGTGGTCTCTTGCCAGCATAACCATTTCTTCTTTGACCTGAAAAAGGAAAACAAACCAATTATAAAAAACGACGATTAACTGTTGCTGATCATTTGAGATCATTCTTAAAATCCATAAAAGTGAAAATAATTAGGATTAAGTAAAGAATCTAGAGATCAAGAGAATCAGATAATCTATAAGATCATTCTTAGATCTATAAAAGTGAAGACAAATAGGATCAAATAAGGAGTAGTAATGAATTCCATTCATCCGATCGCAACTTATGCGATTTCCTCATCTTACATCTTAGTATTCAGTTAACGATCAAAGTTACGGTTACGAGTCGAGACTACTAGAGACTAGCAAAGACTTGCAATCACCGGATTGGAAGATATACCTGATTAAACTTCTTCAGTTGTCCTTATCTGTAAATCATCCGAGTTGATGCACTCGTACTATCTTAGAATTAAAATATAAACAAACATAAATATGTCAAACCCTTTCCTTTTTCATTACTTTAATATAAGAATATTTGCAAATGATAAATCAAATAAATTTAGCAAACATTACGTAAAGGAAAAAGAAAGAGGTCAAAAGAGATAAAATAGAAAAAAAGAAACTTTATTTTCTAAAAAAGGATGTGTCTTATGTTAAAGGAATTATCGTATTTTAACTGACTAAACGGGATGAGTATAAGCCGTATCGGACTTGACACAATGACCTCGCAAATCGTGTAACCAGCCTATCTTAACACATTGAAAATACTCTTAAGATAGGAAAAAACTAATAGTTAATTGCAATCAATAAAAAATGACCCTGAAAAGCAACAATTGATAATTCTTTATCTGCGATAGTATCCTATTTCAGGGGAAATTTGTGTACAATATTTTATATTCGTACGTAAGAAGAATAAAATACTAAATATATTATAATTAATGAATATATTACAATATGATTAAACAAAAATATAAATATTACTTACTTTTGGACTCCAGGATGTAACAGCAACGTGAAGAGCATAATCACAGCAAACCTTCTCATCCGCAGTCCGTCTGTATCTTGCGTAAGCTTCAAGAATAGTTTCGTCCTTTTGAGGAAAGGCAAAATCGATAATCATCGTCGTACCACCGGCGACAGCCGCTTTGGTGCCTTGATAAAAATCATCTACCGTTTTGGCACCCATTAATTCCAATTCAAAATGTGTATGGGGATCTATGCCACCTGGCATCACGTATTTTCCCCGAGCATCGATAGTTCTTGTACCACCCGGTATAATAAGATTGCGACCCATTTGTCTGTGAGAACCACAAAACTATTTTTTTGTCTATTCCATAATTTTTGTGATTTTTTGATCATTCTTAAATAAACCGCTATAAAAATAATCTTATAACAGTTAGATTATCGAAGTTATGATACTATAAAGATTAAAACGACGATTCGGAATTATCTGCTTATCTAATATCGCAATTTCTAGACTATATGACTATTTTATGAGATAAGCCACATTCTCGAGTCTGACAAATCATATTGGTTTAACACGACAATTGCATTATATGCGTCTGCTCGTGTTCTATTTATGCTTTGATAATAAAGGAAACTACCTTATCGTATCGTTGAATTTTTTCCGCGCAAATATTACGTCAAATAAATCGCAACGAGTAAACTTTTAGCCAAGTGTCGATTTTATCTTCTATAACATTATGTCATTTAAACGTTACATTTTTTTCTATCTATAAATATAACTACGTGGGTTTAAATTAGATCATTTTTCTTTACATACACTAATTGTAAGTAAAACAAATAATTACTTCTTTTTTATCTAGATAAAAATGTTTCACCTAATAATGCCATCCTCGATGTAAACGTCGCTATCAATGATGCCATCCTCGTTGACAACTTTACCATTCTTGATCAATAACCGATTCTGCGCGCTCTGAAACAAAAAATTAGATAAAACAATTAAATCAAAATGTACAAAATTAAAATAAAAAATAATAGAAAAAAGTTGCAGATATAGGAGAAAAAAAAAATTCAAAACTGCGATTATACTCTTACGACATATTTAATACAAATTCACGTATACATATATAGACGAGATTATGGTTGCGCCCCCGTCCTTGATATTCGTTTGCTGGCTGTTTCGAGCACGTCCGGTTGCGTCGATTAGTATGCGCGCATTACTATAGATATAAAGTATTATGGCAGGGTATATCAATCGGTGTCCTATGTATGTATATGTATATGTGTTTCTATGAAGGAGGGTGAACGCGCGCGCGCAACACGCACTTCCGTCCAATACCAAATTATAAGGGCGTACACGCATGCTTAGAGGAAAAAAGCATTCCCGATAAGCGTTAAACTAACTTGTTTTTACCTATTCTTATCTTCCTTGGTATCTTAAAACAGGTGAACTTATTTTTCTCGAGATTTCCGAGTGATAAATAGATTGATAATCGAGCATAGAAATAATTTTGAATTGATAGACAAATATAATTATTAAATTGTATGTAATTAAGTTAACTGATCTTATCTAAAATGTTATTTGTTAACTAACAATAAGATAAATGTATTGAAAACAAATCTGGGGTATTTTATAATTTATGTTGATGTTACAATCTTTAGGAAATATTTGTTTACTAAATAAATAAAGATTAATGCTCGTTCAAGATAAAAATGATTCTTACGAACAATAAATAACTTTAATCTTACAATTAGATATAAAGGATAATCCTGCTTTCTCGAAAATTTTCAAAAAATGTAAAAAGAAATAGTAACACAAAGAAGACTGACATTGAATGATATTTATCGAAGATTATCTTTAGATTTTAGAATAAGAAATAAATACTTTTACGATTTAGGGTTGATTGCAAAAGGGGTTAAATAGAAAGGGAGAATAATGGCAAAAGTGGTAAGACACACGCAAAGAGAAAACAACCCAGACGACTTTGTTCTTTTGAAGGGACTTTTTTTCACCGAGTACCATCATAGTGGTTCAACCGGGGAAGATGAAAGGGGGAGGAAGAACAGGATAAGGCAGAGGGTGATGGTTAGGTGGAAAAAAAAAAGAGGGAAGGTGCTGAAAAAGGACAATCTCTTCGAAACAACTGTTTTCGTCCCTTTAGGGGGGCTTTTAAAAGTGCTAGCAGGTTAGAACCTTTTGTTCTTTGATGTCCCTTTTCCAGACCAACTCTTCTTTCTTCCCTTTTGACATTGTTCCTTCGTCTCGACCTTTCCTATCACAAGTTAAATCCTCGATACTATTTTGAAACGATTTCTAATTATATGACAAACCATTTCCTCTTTGAAATACGCTTACTTGCTTTCTTCAACGATTGTCGATCAACATGAACTTTTACCCAGACTTTTCCTGTCATCTTCGAAAAGCTTTCTCGCTCATTAAAAAACATATGCGTTCCATGAGTCAGAACGATCGTTTCTTATGATATTTTCAGCTAACTCCGAGCTTAAAATACATGCCTACGTAGTAGACACATAGACATAGCAGCAACAGTAACAGCAACAGCAGGCATCATCCTTGGCGAACCCTTCAAAGAGAAAAAAAAGAAAGAGAAAAAAGACTAAAAAAGGCTGACACAGTCAGATTTGTAGGCTTTGTCCACTGAACAGATTGGTAAAACAGATTGAAAGCCATAATCGAACCTTTTGGATGCTGATAGACCAAATTAAATGCAATTTTGTTTCTTTCATTTCTATTTGAATAAATACCTTTTCTAACTCGATCAATGATTATATATGCAACCTTTGCGTGTTACTCTTTACAGCACGATAACATGCCTGTTATCGCAAATAAATTGCTAACATGATCGAATCACGAATCTAGTTTCATCGTGTCGGATCGTACCACATCACGGAGATAAAAATACTTTGCGCGAATTGGATTACGCATTTAGATCCACCTAAACGTTTTACTAACTGTGTGAACTGTTCTCGATCTATATATCCTTCTTTTTATCTTTTTTATTTCAACAGCTTTGATTTAAATGATACAACCAGTTCTCGATCAGATTGAATTCATGTTTTATGAGAATCAAGTATATTAATCGTTTTTCTGACATTGTACACACCTACATGTATCTCCATCCATATATAAATCCACGTATCATGTTAATTAAGGTCAAGAAAAGTAACTAACGGCTCTCTCTCTGTGAAGAACTGAAATTTTCCTTTAGAACTTGGATTCTCTTTCCACGTTCCAATCCGATCGAGAGAACTAGGCTCTATTACCATTAATGAAGAATCCTACAAACTTGCTTGGTAAGAACTTACTAACGAAGTGGTCCGCGTGCATAAACGTTTGTCCTGATTCTATCTTGAGGGACGAATTACGAGTAAATATTACGAAATGTTACAAGTAAACAATTGAAACGTTGCAAAATTATTGTGCAAAATATATTCAAGGTGTATATACACTGACCTCTGAATATCTAAGCATATTACTCGACTTTTGTTTTCAAAGAAAATACATATGCATGGTCTTTTCGTTGTCTACAAAATAGTTGCACACAACACGTGCACCATATTTTTCCATTTAAAAAATGCAACACGCATTGCGATAGTAAGAATCCCTTGATATTAACAAAGGACTAATTCAAATGAGACTTCTTTATAAGTTATATTTTCCTCATTCACGCGTGTAAATATGTAAATGGGTCGTAAGATACCAAACATTCATTGTGGTTGGTCTAGTTTCGTTATGCTAAATGAAATAAAGTCCAGAAACGACAGATACGGGTCACACCTGGGTTCCCAATTTGCTACTTTATATCTATTTATATTTTCTGAATAACGTTAGATCTATCAAAAATACTTCCTACAATTTTTTAAGAAAATCTTAACAACATTGATTTTTGTTAGAGAAATATCAAACAAACAAAGGAAAATAATTGTAACAATAAAATACAATTAAAAAGTTTAATAATAATTAAATGTAATATCTAAATGAATACGCAAATGACAATATTTGGTTTATTTAGAATATTCGCACAATGTTTAAAAAAATATTGAATAGAATTATTAAGTTATACGATAACATCATTTATTCGCACGCACGTCTTTAATATATGTATATGTATGTGCATGTATACCAGGTAGCTATATAATCAGAAACTGACGCGTTTTTCCGACTTTAGGTCGAAGCAGTGTCGACGAACTATTGATTTGCGCACAGCAGAGCTCTGGTCGGTGCTCTCGGTGTTAAAGAAGCACATCCCAGTGCCGTATAATTTTCCATGCCCATGGAAAATCCACCCACACAATCGCTCCTTACGTTTAACACTTCCCCGTAATACACAGGGGGTAGAAATGTACGCGTATGGAAAATCAAATCAAATAGCTACACTTTGAACTCGAGACAATTTTATATGCATGTATATATATTTACTTGACACTCGTGAATTTGATTGTAATTTAAATTGACGTAACTCGTGAAGGTTTGAATTCTAAAGAGGATAAGAAGAGGGAGAGTTTATTTATTATAAAAAAAAAAAAGAACAAATGATACGATGTCAACGAACTTTGCAGTTTCCAACGTGGAAAAAAAAGTAGGGAAAATGTATCGTGGATTAGGATCTCCCGTTATATTATTATACGATCGTCGTCCTCTCCCTCCTACTCCTCCTTTTCCTCCTTTCCCTCACCAACCCCTCCTTGTATTTTCTTTTACACTTATGGTGTCTGCTTCCTTCCACGAGATAGAGACTGGCGCGAGCACCAAGATACTCCGATCAATAAGCCACCAACCTTCCAATTGCCGTAGTGATGCAACAAAAATGACCATTTTTTTCTTTTTTGCCTAACAAAGCTAACCGTATTTTTCATTTTTTTTTTTTAATATTTTAATTGATGATTTTTTTAAGGAAATGGTTGTAAGGATAGGAGACTGTACAACATTGAATTTGTATCTTTTAACTTATAAATATGTTAATCATATGTATAGTAAGGAGTATAATTATATTCAAATTAAGTTGATTAGTAATAAGATTTCAAAAAGAAATAATCAATAAGAATTAATCAACGATAGCGTAACGTTATTAATTTTAACGTTATTTTTTAAATTTTCATTATCAAAAAGGTACCAGTTACACTTATATCGATCTAATCAAACAACAGAATTAAATTATATATACAATTTGGATAGAAATTTGATAGAAAAAAATGAATTATTTAGACTACAGTTCAAGCCGGTAAAAACAATAACATAACGAGTATGAAGAAATTAGAATAAATAATCGAAGCGAGACGATTTCAAAGATAGATAGCGCCGTCTTCTCTCTCTCTCTCTCTCTCTCTCTCTCTCTCGCCCCGTCAAAGAAAGAAAGAAAAGAAGAAAAAAAGAAAAAAGAAAGAAAGATGAAGGATTCGACGAAGTTGCCAAGTTCCCTCCTTTTTCTTTCTGTCCCTTTTTCTTTTACTAACCTGCAGGTGGATAGGCACCTTCTTCACCGGCGTGCTCATCTTATAAACTGTGGTTTTGGTATCTGAGAAAAACGTGTTCTTCTTTTAGTATATTAGAAATGCCAAGAGAGAAAGATTATTTTTAGTTACTTTTTACTTTGTTATTATAAACGTGAAAGAAAATATTTTCTATCACCACAGAGTCAGTTGAAAAATTTAAAGATCAGAAAGATACACTGTTTCCCAACACTAGTCAGAGATACGACTGCGGAACAGTAGACGACGCACTTAACGTGCGCTCTTCAACCGGTTCCCCCGCTACTTTTCCCACTACTGTCACATGACCCACAAAACCGTAACGTCGCCCTTCCACATTACTGCGCGCGAATATTCAAATGATCGGTTCATATTTACCGTCAGATATATAATCGATAATATTTCGCAGAATGTATATAGCGACATCTGTTGATTTTATTTACTACATTATCGAACTTTTTTGTTACCTTCAGTAGTAGATAAATTAGAATTTTATTTTTTTAATAAATTAACCTCACTTTTTCAATATTTCACATATAATTACATTCATAATTATTCGTTACTTGATTAGTATTTTTAATAAACATTTAATATCATATAATTGTTATTATTTTCTGTAATAAAAGAAAAGAGATTATTCGATATTTAATATCAATATTAATAATATTTTTTTTTGTCATATTTGACCTTTTTTTGGTGAAAACGTATAGAAAACTTTAAGCATGAATATACAAATGCACGTCCAAGATGTAGATCAGGAAGAGTCCACTATACATTTAATGCCATGTAAAATACATTTTGATGGACCAGCTAATGTTTCATCCTTTTTTCAACCATTCATACATGAAACAGATAATGAAAGTAAGTTCACAAGTATTTAATTTATTTCTCAAAAATACTAGACTTAAATATAAACATGAAGTAATTAATACAATAAAAATATTTATTAGACTGTAGTATATCATTTCGTGGGCGTCCACTTCAAGGAAAGAAAATTCAAATTCCTAAAGATTATAAAGGTATAATCTTTTTTGAACATAAAAAACCGGCTGTTGAAGACATACAACGTAATTTATATTCGAACAGCTTCTTCTCAGAATTTACATATTGGAATTACGACAAGATACCGTCTAAAAATGATGCCTTAGCTGGAGCATTAGATTGGATCGACATTGCAGAAGTAGTAAGATTTTCATTAAAATTAAATTAATTAATTATCAATGCAATTGTGATAACTACGTTGTTGCATTTTTCAGCTTCATGGTACAGATAAGTAGCAGAACTTTATTTTTAAAAATGAATTAATTTTATAGGAAATTAAAATTTTTACTTTTGATACAAAATATTAAAATAAAAAGATTCTCCAAAACTGACTTGTAAATTACTTTATTCTATAAACGTCGAAGTATGATACTTGTATATTATTAAAGCATACGCATACATATTTTAAATATCTTACAATTGTCTTGTAGTCGGTTAAAAGAGAATTTTAAGTTAAATCTTATTACATGTTAATCTATCCAACTGACCAAGATGAAAAAGATACAAATCATTGTTTTATCAAGATAAAATGTTTACAGTTTTAGAGCATATTGAATTTTGCTGATATAAGATATTGCTACATATAATATATAATGTTGTAGATTTAAATATGTTTGTACCTCTTTAAGTTAAAAATATGTAAATACCACACAAAAAAATATCAAAATAACTGCCTCTAATTGTAACAATCTGCATCGCATATATCACTTTGTGTGAAATATATGACGTTATAACAAAAAATCAATATATTAGTTAATCAACATAAACTATAACATAATTATTAACAATGTATATGATTATTATATGTATACATATTCAATGAGCCGTTTCATTAATGTCTAATAATGCAATGTAATTAGTAGCGATAATATTAGAGGTACAAAATGTACAATCCAGTCAGACAAAACAAAAACTCATTCATATTTGTATTTACAATATTTGTCCTTTTCTTATCTAATGAAATCTATGAAGATATTCTATTAATACAAAAATTGCAAATAAAGCGTTGATAAAAGATATATATGTGATATACTACTAAGCTAATAAGTAGATGTGAATATCAAATAACATCTACTCTCAGTTTTATCGTAAAGTTAAGGATTTCTACAAGAATTATTTACAATGGCTTAAATAATTTGAAATCAAAACATTAATTCAAACATAAGCTTGTATCATATCGTTTGAATTTTTAATGTCTCTTATATATGAATAACGAAACGTTAAAGTTCAAACGAAAATTTTAAATTTGTCTAAAGCAAAAGAAATATACTTGTTCGTAAACTACAAGTGCGTATAATCGATAGATGATTTGTTTATGGTTAAAACATGATCGTACAATGTTCGATCCCGATATGTTTCAAAAAGATCTACCATCCTTCTTTTTAAATTTTATTAGAAAGTAAGAGGGTTATAGATTTTATTTTACTTATTTTTAAATAACAAAGTATCGGACAGAAATTTCTATTTTTACATCCACATTTCCAAATAATAAAACTCTTCATTAGAACGTAATAAATAAAAAAAATTTGTAATAACTTTCACGAGTAAATTCTAGAATTTTATAAAAGTACATGTAAAGTGTCGGAATTGAAAGATAGATATAAATAACTGTTTATGGCAGTATCAATTAAATAGATAAATACTTTTAATGTATTATCCGTAATAATGACATTTTTTAGACCCTGTACAAATCGGGGCTCTAATAAATAAATTACTAAATATCAAAACACGTATTGAGTACGTGGTTTTATCATAGGCAATATAAAAAATGGTAATAAACAGTCTTTATCATTTGTCATATCGATAACAAAGATTCAAAGTAAACAACTTTTTTTAATATATGTATATAATAATATATATATACTGTATGTGCTTTGGTTTACATAGTTAACTATTGTTCTGTACATTTAGGAAATGACTAGTATTTTCAATACAGACATTGAATGAAATATATAATTAGATGTTATATTAATAAATATATGTAAATAACTTATGAAAATGTGCCTAATTCATTAGCCTGATCTTGATGATATTTATTCTGATCTTGTTGTTGTTTGATAAAAGCACTAAGTCTATTCAATAAAAATTGTTTATCGTGGCCTTCTAAAACTAATTGATTTTTTAATACTGTAACCATGTGCTTATTTGCTATAGACACCGCATAATAATAATATAAAAGCAAAATAAGAATAACAAAAGCTGGTATACCGAAACCAGCTGTTCCTAAGAAAAAAAGTATAGATTGAAGCCAATAAGGAAATTGTGAAAATGTCAAAGTTAATAACGTCCAAACAGATTCTAAACCTTTGAACGGGCCACAAGACTTTGAAGGCATAATTTCAGCGATGGAATATCCAACTGGAATAATGGCTAAAATAAAAGACACTAATAAAATAAACATAAAAAATGAATTGGATTGACTAGCTCTATACACTTTGCTAGATGGGGTACAATTAACTAAACAAGCAAACTTTTTTACATAGAACAGAAAAAAAGTACCAATTACAGCTACCATTGGCAATAAAGGTGCAAAGAAACAACCGAGCCAACAAATTGTTTGCGAATATACAATGTCTAATACATGTTTGGATAAATCAAATTCTTGTTCTCCTACGAATCGTAGTATTTTATTTTCTGTATGACGCGCTAAAAGTGATCTAGGAAAATTAATGAAAAACGTCATAAAGAATTGTATAAAGAAATCTGTTATATAAAGTTTAAAGAATTGCTGACCAACAAATGTCTCCCAGCAAAGCAGTTGCCTGCTTTCATTATTTGTACATTCTGCATCTGACACTCTGGGTGAAACAATTTTGTAAAAAGATGTTAATAATACAATCAAAGATGAAAGTCTTAGAAAAATAGTACGAAATAATGTTATGCGTATAATAAAAAGAGGATTATAATTTTCTAAGGCTATTAAATATCGAAACAAAAATGGAACTGCAATATTGAGAGCAACAATGCAAATGTATGGAAGAAATTCAAAAAATAAATGAACAATCTTATCAAAAGGCGTGTATTTTCCATCGGTATTTTGCGCTTCTAAATGCGATGTAACTTGATCGAAAGAAAATTCTATAATATAATAAATAAATGTACCGCAGCCACCTAATACTAATAAAATAAATATATTAACTACAAAACGTAAGGCAAACAATTTAGTTTTTTCTTCTCGCGTACGGTTTTGTCTTTCTTCCTCTAATCTCTCTGCTTCTAAAAATGCTTTCATTTCGTTGTGCAAAGCCTTGTGTTTAACAGCTGCTGATTTTTCATTTTGAATACAATAATCCCATCCTCCGAAAACTAAATTACAATATTGGTAGAATTGTCCTTCGCCTTCCACAACTCTTTCTTTAAAACCTTTAGCGGCTGATCTAACAATTGCCACTAAGCTGATAATAAAAACTGTAATAATTGCACAAACGTATGACAATGGTAAATTGTAACGAATGGAAGAACCATCTGCTCCATAGATTTTGTGTGTAAATGAGCCATAAAATAACAACGTGTGCTCTAAAATGTCTGCTATACTATTACTACCGTCAGTCGTGTTCCAATACAATTCGGAACAACAAGATATACTCGCACTACTGTTAGATGAACACATCTCTTTTTCTGGTTCTTCCAGCAATATCGTTGGCAATATAATGAAACAAAATATGATTGAAAATAAAACTATGTTTAAATACATTAACCATTTGATAAATAAAAAATATGCCACAATACCCATCCCAAAATTACCACCAATCTTTTTCATACTGTCGTTCCAAAGTTCCATCTTGGAATAAGCTTCTTTCATTCTCGAACGGAATTGTTGCCAAACTTTCCTATGCTGCCACTTTAATTGATCGAATCCCTGTAATCTCAACTTTGTTGCGCTCTGAATAATATTATTATATTTATTAATAAACATTTCCTTCCATTTTTTCTTTCTAATTACATATCAAAAGTATTTCATTAAAAATTTTATTAAAAATATACCTGTAATTGATTCTTCAATTGTATTTTCTGTGTCATAGATACGGGCATAGATTTGATCTGCATTATTTCTTCCCATGTGCGTTCTTCATTGGATAAATTCTCAGATAAATCCGGTAGCATAGAAACTGCTGCATCATGAATATTTGTAGACATGCGTCTTGCAGTACTCGTACCACGAGATCTAGTACTAGTACGTCTTCTCAAGGTTGTTTTTGTATCATTGCATATGCGTTTAGCTGTGGCTATAATTAAAGTATCATTTATTGATATTGTTTAACCTTTAAAAGAGGAAAAAGAAAAAAGGAATTGCAAAGTAATCTAGAGAATTATAAATAGACATTTTACTTACCAACACGAGATTTTTTGCTGGGAAGTAAAGTTGCGATATGAGAAGGATCTCTTTGCAATGCTTGTTGTAAATCTGCTTCTATAGCAGCAGGATAACTTTCTTGATAAAACTCAGCACCAGCTTCTTCCCATCCTTGTGCCCTATCACAGCCACGTTTCTTTCTTTCTCCACCCGACATTTTAACTTGTTAAAAATACTTCACAGATATTATTATCAAAAGTTTTCCAACTTTTGGAAATATACCAGTTTGTATAAAGTAGGCTATAATACTGGCAAATACTTAAATGCAATAAAATGAGTTGTCATTATTGCATGACATTCAATCTTCATAATTAAATGTCGTGTAATTAGAGAAAGGAATATGTGTGCTGAAAATAACAAACCACAACTTCTATTTATCAACTAACACTAGTTTTCATTTAACAAATTCATTTATTCTTATCAACGTAATTAAACAAATAATTCGCGGAAATTACATCATTTTGATTAAGTGATAAGATAACATTATATTAAATACGATTCTAAATATAATTAATACGATTCAAAATAATAAATAACTAATCAATGAAAATTGTGTAATTTATACGCATTGAACATATAAAATTGGTATCTAAGCATCCTCTATAAAAATATATGCAAAATTATACACAAAAAGTTTAGACCTTTGTTATAATTAAAATATTAAATGTAATCATACCGTTATTTATTTATTATTCGATTTCTCACATGTCTTACTATCATAAATGACTATGAACTTGAGCAAATATGGAACAAAGTAACGCAGTGCCATCTTGTTTTCGCCATATATCAAATTGATGACGAAAGGTAGACGTCCGACAAAAAAAATATAAAGCTTTTATCAAGAATTTCGTAGAGAGGTGACTCACTTGCTTGTAATCATTCGTAGAAAAGAGAGAACGCGTCAGCCATTGAATAGCTTATTCCATGCCGCCATTTTGGTTATGAAATTTCAAGACTCGTTCTGATTAGTCGATACGTCAACGCGGTAAGCCTGTTGATATGCTTCAATATTTGAATGTTATTTTTTATTTTTAAATAGTTTTCAGAATGTCGATAAAAATTATTGTTAAATTAATACAATAAAGAAAAACCATATTTGTTCATTACAATAAATAACATTTGTGTATATAACTTTGCATATATATTCATATACATTGTATCCTGTTTTTTTCTTATAACTAAAATAGATTAATTCATATTAATTGAAAACATTGCTAAATAAATAAATGTTTAAGCAATAAATTAATATTCATTCGTCTTCAGAAAAATAGATACACAATATTTCTTATAGTTATAACTTCGATTGTAACAGTAAGAGATAATAATTTACAAAAAGACGATTCTTGCTGATTGATTGAATATATATGAGTATATAAGATTAATTTTTGAATATAATACATGTTATAACATGAACACATGTTGCGATATCGATTATATAATATTAATTCATTACTGACAGATTATTATTAAGTCGGGTTAGATAATATCGGAAGTGATAAACAACAAGGTAATATCAGAAAGAAAACAATATCTTCAGGAATTACATTCAACAACAAATTAAGATCTCTTAGCATTTACATTATAACTTAGAAAAAGAAATATTTATAATCAACTACTATGAAAATCAAATTAAAACATATCGAACATTTTATTTCGAGATTTTTAAGGAATTAAATAATAACTTTAATATTGTCTATCACTCCAACCTCTTCCATCATCTATATAACCATCATAAATCACCACATATGATTATTAGAACCATAAGTATTTTGATTGGGATTTCTGCCAGTTTGATTCCATCCACCTTGAACTCTACCTGAATTACCGCGCTGTTGATAATCTTGACTATAATTTCCTGCAGGATCATTATAATCATAATATCCTCCACTTGACCTATTACCAGAAAATCCACTATTAGGACCCCCTCCAACCCTATTATTTCCATAAGTTGCTCCACCACTATTGCCATAATAATTATTAGTTCTTCCTCCTCCTCCCCCTCCCCCTCCTCCTCTTCCTCTTCCTCCATAATTTCCTCCAGCCTCACCATAATTACTGGTACCTTTAACATTATAATTATTTCCACCATAATTACCTCCACTGCTACCGTAACCTGATTCATTTCTAGGATTGACACAACCACTATTCCCATAACTATTTCCCATTCCACCAGTCCCATAGCCAGCACCACTCCCATAACTACCTCCTCCTCTATTATCACTATAACCTCCACCTCCTCCTCTATTATCACTATAACCTCCACCTCCTCCTCTATTATCACTATAACCTCCACCTCCACCTCCTCCTCCTCCTCCTCCTCCTACTCCTCCTCTATTATCACTATAACCTCCGCCTCCTCCTCCTCCTCTACCACCTCCTCTACCTCCTCCTCTTGCACTACCACCTCGTTCACTGACATTGCCTCCTCCTCCTCTATTGTATCCGCCACTAAAATATAAAATTAATAATTTAAATGTTTGCACTTTTCAATATACAAAGTTAAACTTAATTAATAGATTAAAATGTTGATTATAATCAAACCTGGATGGAGGTCCTGCAACTCTATCTTTCTGCCATGGTGGCATTTCTGGAGGAGGAGGTTCTTGTTCATAAGGTCTTCCTCCACGATCCGGAACATCTCCTATGATAACCTTATTTATGTTACTTCGAGTATTTTTACGTACAACTGCGTTACTAGTCTTCTCTATCACTGCTAAATCATCTCGTGCTGCTAACAGATCAGCAATAACGACATTTGGCTTTATACCCAGTTTTGCCCTTCCCGAAAGATATTTATTATTTAATTCTTTCTCCTGTACTCGCACTCTTTCTGACCACTACATTTCAAGTTAAAGTATTTCCTATTAATTATTTAGTTATTTAATTACTTTCATATGTTAGAACAATAATCAATTCTTACCAGAAATGATTGAATAGTTACATCCAATCGTTTAAGTAACATTTCTCTGCGCATCTCATATTCTTTATGTAATTCATTATTATAATCGTTAAGTTTTTTCCACTGATCGGTAGATAATTCACCAAAAATTAAAGGTTTACCCAAAAGATCATTAGGAACTTTTGATATTACGTCTTTTAATTTAGTTTCTAATCTTGTAAATAACATTTGCACAGTAATATTATCTGGTGCTTTTGGAAATTGCAATGCTATTAACATCTCCTTTAGATGTCTTGCGGTATCACTTTCTTTCTGTAAAAAATCAATTTCTTCAAATTGTAAGTATGATATATTACATTTACAAATAATAAAAGATATATAATAAGGAAACATCTAAAATGGTAATATACTTACAATAACAACTTCTATACCCGCATCAGTTTCTTTTTCTTCGGCTTGCAATAATTTACAAGCCATAAGCTCGGAAACTAGAATTTCTATTAACAAAGTCCTGCTTCCCTTGTCGGCTAATCTATTATTAATGTTTCCAGTAGTTAAATTTTGATTAACGCATCCTATTTCTTTAAGGAAACAACTCAACTCTAACAAGAAACAACTTGCGTCGTCTGAGTTATTAGTAGGATTAATAGTTTCGTCTATATTCATTAATTTTCCTATTTGATCAGCAAGCCAAGAAACTAAACTAGTATAATCGATAGATTTAGCTCCAAGCTCCAAGGCTTCAGACATTTTATCAATTTGGAGCAATGGACCTTGATACCTTTAAATAAAAAGATACATTGTAATATCAGATATTTGGAGGTTATACTAATGAAAAATAGAAACAATAATGTCAAGAGAAAATTTGTTTGAATTTTTTCATAATTCATATTTTAGAAATATGTAATGTGAATGTTAATGTAAAAAATATGTTAAAGATTTCATTTTGTAATCTCAAAATACATACCCGACATTTTCGAGCGCTTGTAATAAATTTTTTTCCATATCTGAAATTGTATCGTTAAATTAGTAAAATTAAAATAATATTATTATAATATTATATAAAGAAAATAGTAACTTATTCATAAAGAAATATTGAACACAGAAAACAGACGTTTCATTCTAATCCAAGTAGCGGCGAGCAATATGGCCGTCACCGGTAAGATTGAAGTAGATGTCACTACGGTAGGTAGTACCTAATAATATAAATATATTAAATACTTACATGATTTTATTTTTATTTTTTACTAACAAGAGAGTTTAAAGTTGTTTTATATATATCATTATCAAAAAGTGAATAATGCAATATAGGATAAGTTTAAATAAAACTCAAAATAATTACAAAAGTAAAAATTTTCAAACTTTAGTGCATTACATGTACTTACATAGTTGAGCTTATATACATACGTATAATTAATGTTCATTATAACTATTATTTACATTTTAAAAATATCCATCGGAAATTATTTTTGCATAATTTTACTAATATTTGTTGACAAATTTGGAATTTCTTTTTCTTGCAATAAATGAGTACTTCTTAGTCTTCTTTTCGTAGCAATTGCTTATTCCTTTTTATTTTGATAATTAATTAAACTTATTTGTTTTCAAATATTTGCATATTTCATAGATGTAGATACATTAGTTAATCATGCTTTGGGAAATGTATTATTTATAGCACCATTCGTGTGTGCAATTTTGTCTAGAGGATGTGATTTAATAATCACCTTTGTACTACTTTATTCTACTGGATTTCTACGTTTCAACTATAAAGAGAAGATATTTTACGTAAAAAATAATTGATAGTGACTGCATACGATTTACGACTAATAATAATAAATAAAAATACACCTTTCTTACTTTGAACGTAGATGATGAATAATATTGTATTAAGAAATAGATACAAGTCAGTCACTTTTGAAAAAAATATTTCAAGATCTGTACAATTGTGATTTACAGCAATTACTCTATTAATATAAAATATGTTTTTAGATTTCTTTATAAATAATAATATTATGTTAAACGCACGCCACTGCACTAATGATATGAAACAAATTTTTCAATTTGATTTGTTACATCATATTTTACAAACCTACACATTTATATTATCATATAAACAGTACATTTTGTTTTTATATCAAAAGTGCACCCAAGTTACATGCCGCAGATTACTTTTTACAGAATAAATCTGCAAATATCTTAACAGTTTTGTACACATTACGCTAATAATATTTAAAATTTTATATTATTATAATACAGTCATTGATTAATCTCTTAACTGGTGAAGATGAATTAATAAATAAAAAGAATTTCTTTCTTACTCCCTTTGAAAAGTATTATTTTTATTAATTTTTACTTTTACTAAAGTTTCTTCTCTCTATTCGTATTATTTTATTTTTAATAGAAATATATTTTATATATTTATGTTGCATACATATTGAAAATTTCTCCCCAGTTTAGAGATCACCATTTGCTTCATAAAAGGATTCACATTTCTCTAATAAACGAAGAACCGGATTGATGTTATAAGGAAACAAAGCTTTAGACACTAATCTGTCGATCGCCAATCGAAGTCTTATTAATACTGTCATGGTGTCATCGAGCTCTCTATCACAACACAATACAAATTCTTCCCAATTTCTTCTGATATACTTTAAAAATCTCAATAAGTACAATAAAAAACAAGTTTCATTACTGACAAGTAAATCTAATAAAACATCAGGATCATGTGACACAGCATGTATGAATCGTATAAATGTTAATGTTGGGCTAAGTATATGACCTAAATCATTTTGTGGCGGTCCTCTGTAAAAAAGACCAACTGCTACATCGAGACAGCAGACCATACCTTCTATCAAGAAGTCATCTTGATCATGAAACATTTGTACAACCCATTGCGATAATGGCATTTCTGGATGGAAAGGCATTAATGTTTTGACACATTGATCCAGCTGTCTTAAAACTTCTCTAATACTTCGCTCAATAACTGCCATATCGGCATCAAGATCTTCTGCTTCTGAACCCAAAGAAGAGTCACTAGAATCACAGCGGGTTTCCTTTATAGTCACTGCAACACTTTTTAAAACTAAGAGCACAATTTTTTGTAGAAGTGGTCTGTCTCCTTCGCTAGAACCACCTCCAAATCTTCCAGACCCATTACGATATGGCAAGGAATCTAATAATCTCCAATCTTTAACGGCACGAACTATTATATGTGCTAGAGAGCAAGGTTCATCAGGTAAGACATCTTGTAATGCTAATGTACTACCATAACATAATATTTCATTAAACAATTTTAAAAGATGTCTCCAGATGATACATGGAACATTGGAATTCAGCAATGAAACCAAATTATCTAATTGACTATAGAAAAGCTTAGTATCGATAACTGATAAATTGGCTTTTACAGAAATGATTGATTCCCATAAATCTAAAAATGTTACAACAGCTGATTCATGTTGAGGCGTGTACGAGGCGAGAATTGCATCAAACTTAGATACTAATGTAGTCCATTTAGATTCTAATACTTTAACGCACATAGCTTTTACAGTAGTACTATCAAAACTTTCTGCATCTGATAGCGTTATAGTATTACAATCAGACATTATGCCTGTCTCTTCCGACGGATGAAGGCAGCAATCTTTATATTCAACCACTTTTTTCACAATATCCAAAGTGAATACCATTTCATTAGGAGAGTTGGTGTTCACTAAAGATTGAATAAGTCTTTCCAACCAAATGGTTTCAAAATTGTCCTTTGTTACAATAAAAAATGAAGCCAAAACTCTGCTTGCAACAAACAATATGAACTTATTGGTTGTATTAGAAAGATCAATAATTTGATCTATAATACCATGTTCATTTCGTGCTAACAGATCACAAATATCTACAACTCTACTGCACATAACACCTTTCGTATTCTGTTTGATGGCCAAATCAAAAAGAAGCTGCAAGGCGCTTAGAAATTCCAGAATTTGATCAGGTTCCCAGTTGGATAATTCTATAGGACGAAAGCTACCATCAGCCATTTCCAATGTTGCTGTAGTAAGCGGTTTACGCAAGCTACCCTCTGGTATATTGCATAAACACTGAGCTAATAAACTGTTCTGAAAATACTTTATATCCGAGAAAGATTCTATTCCATCATTACTATCCTCAAGACGTTGTTTCTTCTTTGCGGGTTCCTCCATTGTGCTGACAGGAGGAAAATGAAGACAGCGCCAAAGCACCATTAGCAAATCTATTCTATCATCTACTTTTATCTCTTATATTTCTTAGTAACTTTTTATCAAGTTATCTTCATAATGCACATGATCTTCCAACAGGAGGAATAACACATCAATGTCAAATATGATCCGTTCCACATTTGCTTTCAGTAATTATATGCCTCATAGATCTATCACATAAATCCAGTAAATATTTGTTCTGAAAGAAAGAAAATGAATAATTATGTAAAGAAATAATATTACATTACATATATGTAAATGCGTATATATTTCATATTTATTTTATCAACAGTAATGAAATATCAAGAAAACATAAAAAATTAATTGAAACTAATAAAAAAAAACTGTTTATATTTTATTTATAAAGCTTTGTATCTACGTTATATTTATGTTATATCTTTTTAACAAAACA